TGGCAGTTGATGTCTGGATTCTTTCGGAGGAAGGTCAAACAGTTCCCATAGGTGAAGCAAGTGGGAAGAATGATAAATCATCCTCCCTTTGAAAGGGGAGGAAAAAATCAGGTGGAGCCTTTAATTGTATTGTGCCTGCAGTATCATTTCCCAAGAATACATATTAAATTGAAATTCAGGCTTCAATAGGTCTCTATAATTGATGATTAACAGTTGTAGGAGATATAAAAATTCAACTTTTTGCTACAATATCCAAGGAATATTTTAATTGACCAGTATGCCCTGAAAGATTTATTTCTTTTCAGTAATTACTTTTTCCAGCACCTATGGGAATGGTGACATGGGGCAGGTACAGTAATATTAGCAGATATCTCTTGGTACAGCCACTCCTAATTTACAGAATGGCTTTAAACTAGTAAGGGATTATTCTTACACAAGCTACCTTCAATAAAGCAGCAGGGAGTAATAGTCTGTTTTATCAGTAAAGCACCAGATTGCTTCATGCTTTTACCTGTACGTATGCAGCTCTCCTTTCTCCTGGAGGAAGAGGAGGGAAACAGGCTGAGCAATGTTTGTCATGGTTTATAAGTCATCAAAGCAGGCTGTCCAATGTCTAGGTGACTAGTGGCCACGTGCCCCATGGGCTGTACCAGTGGTGGCTGCATACTGTGCAGGTCATAGTTCCCCTAGGCTTCACCCCAACTGCATGGGCTAGTGCTCCCGGCAGGTGCTCCTGCACCTCACTGTCCTGTGTGTGAGAGCTGGCACCTTGTCTCCATGTGGTGTGGCACAACACCTCTCCCCACCTGCAGCTCCCTGCGAGTTCCCCCTGGCACTCCAGGCTGCCTGATCCCCTTTCACTGTGGACTGTGTGGTACTGCACTGCTTTACCCCCTGGGGCTGGGTCAGGCAGTGGAGGAAGGGGGAGCCCCAAGATCCTGACTGCTGTTGTGGTGGCAGCTGGCTGGGAGTCTAGGGGTTGCATGCCACCCCTTCGCAGGCTGCCAGTTGGGCAGTCCTGCATTAAAGCTTGGGCATCTTGCATTTGAAGGTTTGCAGTAGCTGGATGGGCAATGCATGTAGTGCTAGAGAGAAATCATTCTGAGCATGTGGAAAAAGACTCTTAAATTTGAAACTTGCCTGTATGCATATTCATTTATCACAGTAACTAGTCATGACAGCGTGAGTGTTCAGAACAGTTTGCTGCAGTTTTCTGGCAGCAAGGAAATGGTGGCACAGCAGATTAATTTACAAGATGTATAGCAGAGAGATTTGTCCTTTTCACTCACCATTTCCAGAAACCCTTCTCCCCTTCTGCATAAGGGTATTTATGAGCATGGGAAAATCAAAGATGAAAAGCATAAAATTAAAAAAAAAAAAAATTCATTTATTTTTTCTTTAAAACATAAAATTAAGGTGCAGGTTGTAGTGAAGAGACAAAGTCCTTTAACCCCCTCCCCTCCCCATTACCACACTCTGTGGAAGAATTATATTTCATATTTACAGCAGGTCTTTGAAAGCTATTCTCTGATTTCAAGAAAAAGTATTCATAGACAAAGACATGTCCAAATCAGGCCAGTGAAATTACATGCTTTTGGTGTTTGAAATTTGCTGTTAGAAATACTCTGGTTTTTGAATGGTCAAGTAAAAAATAGCATTCAGGATTTGTTCCTGTATTAATACATTAAAGTCATTTGGACAAAATTTTAGCCAAGTTCAGGTATTTGGCCAGAGTGAAGACCTGCGTTGGGAGTCCCTGCAAGCTGGGGCCTTGGTATTTAATTTATCTTTTGTTGGCTTTCAGTGCTTCATATGAACTAAATCTGTCTTTCCTTTTCCTTTCTTTAGTGTAGTTGGTCCTTAAAAAAATGGGCTGTGAAGTTAAAAGGAGGTTTTTGCTGCTATATGCCACACAGAAGGGACAGGCAAAAGCCATAGCTGAGGAAATATGTCAGCAGGCAAGTGCACGTGGATTTAAAGCTGATATTCACTGTATAAGTGAGACTGACAAGGTGAGATACTCCTTGCTGTTTTGTAAAATTGATTTTTAAGAGAGAGAGATTTTTCTCCATGTCCTTGTATAGTGGTCAGTAATCATAATTCTTTATGCATGAGCACAGAGAAGAGCAGGCACTACCTGCAGTAAAATTCTCATAACATGCATGTCATTGATTTGGATCAGTACTAACAGGGAAAATCATAGCAAATTGATCACATATTAAGTTTTACTTAAAAGTCCAGCGTATTAGTTTTTTATTCTTCTTCTACGTGCACCTTTACAATAATATTAAAGTGCTTTGAATGCTGAATGCTATTTGTGCATGCAGAAATGTTCAGGAGGAGGCTGGATGATCACCTCCTGCCCATGTCAGGGAACTGGACTTCATGATCTTGCAGGTCTCTTCTGGTCCTTCTTTTTGTGATTCTATGAATAAATGAAATCAGAATTGAATATAATCAACCCCTGATAAATGCTACATGCACAGAACCAGCAAAAGCTTGTGGTAATGAATGAAGGTTACAGTACCTGAAGTTGCACGCAAGCAGAGCTTACTCGTTTTCTGATGGCTTTGCAAAGAACAGTGCCATATAACTAAATCTCTGCCCTGCCCCATTTTGTGGATCTCTAAGTGTGCCATTTATTTGTCAGATGGATAAAAATTAAGATGTTTAAACAAAAATAGATGCCAGTGACTTGAAGGGAGAATGGCTTAGTTGGAAATGATTCTGCCACGAGCCAAGGGTCTGGACTAAATAACCTTGTGAGGTCCCTTTCAGGCCTGCTTTCCTGTGATCCTATACTCGCCACACAAGAGAGCTGGGAGAAGTTACGCCTTTGGCTCCCTACCCCTGGAGCAGCGGACTTGAGCTTCACCCACCCTCCGACTCTTTTCTTGATTTTTATCTGTTTTTCAAGAGTTCCTGAAGCGTATCCCAAAAGATGCACTATACAGTGGGAATTTGTGCACCTTGTACAATTCAGCTCCAGACTGTGAGCATGGCGCTGAAACCCTCAGCAAGCTGCGTTCAGGCTTTGACCGTACCTTATATTCCCAGGCATTGAGCCAGGTACCTGGCAAGCCTGTCTTATTTATAAAAAGCTGTATAATTTTTTGTTGTCACAAATCATTACATACATTTATGCAGCAAGGGAAATTGCTTTACCCATAATTGTCTGCTCAAATCATTCAATAATTGTGACATATAATGGTAAATTTACCCAGTGGACATTAAGTTGTTGACATTAAGCAGTTTGTTGCAGTGTCAGGGCTGACAAACAAAGGAAAGGGTTGCTTGTTTTTGACTATTCAAATAGAAATTAGCTGTTGAAAGTGAGAGTTGCGATAATAGAGTATGACATGAAGAGCAGTGATACTATCCACCTATGACAGTTGATGGTCAGGGCATATTGTAAGAGATGATCATTGCAATTTTTGTTGCCTGTCTGTGATATGCCAGTGCTTAAGGGCCCCTTGCGCTGGTTCCATACAGGGGTAGATCCCAAAATGGCAGCTCGGTCTCTGTGCAAGGAGCCCTGTGCTTGGTGACCTCCCTCTGGAGAGTCCTCTGGCCTAGCTCTGTTGGCGCTTGCTAGTTTATGCCACATGTGATCCATGGTATCAGAGCCATCATGAAAGTAATGACCTGCTGGGTAAGAGAGATGATTTCAATTCAGAATCACTACAATTCTTGGAAGGTGCAGAGGGCTGTTTCTGTTAATGCCTATTTAATTATGAATGCTTTGGAATAGGGCTTCCTTTATGAAAAATGTGTCTCTCTTTCCCTTTCCATTAGGGATTAAGAAAGGACCGAGGAGAGAGAATTTGACAGTCTTGATAATCCAAGGGAAATAGATAAGCAGAAAACTAACTTTTTCCTGGGCATCTGAGTTGGGTGAAATTAAAGAGGAAAAGAGGCTATTGCAAGCAAGGACATTCCCCTTTTGCAGGTCACCTTCACAGGAAGTGTTGCTGTTTTGACAGCTGAGCTTTTGTCTGGGAAGAAATCCTTACTCTATTTGATATTCAGCATGTTGTCAATGCAAGAGCTGTTTGCTACCTGCAGAAGTAAGGGAGCTTTTTGTCTGCTTCTAAAGAATCTCCTCCCTGCTCTGTCCCAAAGAGTGCTTTGTTTAGATTTGTTGAGTGGTTTTGAGAGGCTCTGGTGTGAGACATCTCCAGCCCTGTTCAGCTGGAGTGGCTTAGTGCTGGAATAAATCTGTCTTGGCAAGCTGGCACCAAGCTGTGTTTTACTGGGGAGATGAAATTCTGCACGGACTAGACAATTTTGGATTAGAGCCTATGGAGGAAAATAACTTGAAACAGCTTTGTGGATCTTTTTTGTTGAAACTACCCACGCTGTTTTGCCAGGCAGCCGGCTGAACCTGAGTGAAGATGCTTTCCACGCAGATAGAAATAACTAGGGAAAGGAGGGATAACACTGGGGCAAGGTTTAATCTTAGGTTTGGTGGGGTCTTGTGTGAAGTCAGATGTTAGGGCCATGTTACGTAAGGAATTACCATCTGGCTAGGGTTAGGCTTGTTTTGCCCATGAGGAAGAGGATGCACTAATTTGCAGGTGTCTTCTGTGTTGTCAGTGCAGATATGCAGGCTTTTCTCACTGTCAGGTGAAGGAAGGCAGGATCAGTTGTGCCCCTGCTTCTTCACCTTGTAATGTAGCAGAAGCTTATACTGCAGAGTGCAGGGCGAAGCCACCACCCAGAATTAGCCACTTAGCAGTTGATCTCTAAAACAACCCCCAAAAACAAAGTTCAGCCTGCAACGACACCTTGAGTAACTTGACCATGTCTGGGGCACTCCAGTGGGCTCACTGAAGGGTTAAATCTTATTGTGCACACAAACTGGGACTTCTGTTGCTACTCAATATGTTGATGGCTTTTGTCAGCATTGTTTAATTAACTTAGTAAGTGGGCTCAGAAAGTCTAGGGTGCTAAAATTAAGCTAGGTTTGTGGTTTCCTTAGTTTCATGACAGGGACAATAGGAAATCCATGGCAAAGTTTGCAGATTTCTATGATAGGATGTATAGGAGGGGGGGAAAAAAATCAAAAACCAAGCAAAGCCTTTTGAGACTAAAATTGAGTGCCCTGTGCAAGATGGAGAAAAACCTATCAGAGTCCCTTTGTTAAAGAGAATATTCTATTAAGCAACCTTTCTTTTGTTAAATCATGTGTCAATCACTGTAAATGGTGGTTACTACCCACTGTCTCCATAGGGAAGTAAAGATTATGGAAAACACAGCTTTTTTGATGATCTCAGGGCACCAAGTGGTCTGGTCAGTCATAGGCCGATGCTTTGGGCTGGCAGGTTGACTATGAGATCTGCTGTTCTGGGCTCTGGCTTACTTTTCCGGGGTCAGATCCCTCTTTCACCAGTGTCGGGTTGGGCTGGACTGGATGAGCCATCTCATTGCTGCTCGTTGTGATGGTGCCATGCAGTGCCTTTGGCCTCAGGATCAGGTGAAAAGCTGAAAGAGAGAGAGGATGGAAGAAAGACGGAGAGCAGAAAAAGGACACACCCAGGCTGGGGAGGCAAAGCCCCGTCTTCTATGTATTAGGTCAGAGTTCTTCCTGATCTAATGATGAAGATCTGGTGTCCTCACAGGTATACAAACTTAAGTGTCCAGATGACTGTGGCCTGCAGGAAAAGGGTAGGGCCTTCAGACCAAAGTCTGGAAGAGTCTATTCCAACTACTTCGGTCCCTGGATGATCTCTTTTTTAAAGGTGTGAATGGAACAGACCATGTCATCAACATTTTATTTACAAATTCAGAGAAAGGTGGGGAGGGTAACTAGCACAGCGCAAATGCTTGACTTTAGGAAAGCCAACTTCGATGTGCTCAGGGCAGTAGTCAGGGAGGCACTCGGAGCCCAGCATGTAGCTAGTATGGGGGTCCAGGAAAGGTGGTCCTTCCTCAAGGAGGCTATCCTTGGGACGCAGCAGGACACAATTCCTCTGTGCAGGAAGGTGGGAAAAGGGTCCAAGAAACCTTCATGGCTGAGCGCGGATATCCAGGCTGGCTTGAGGGCAAAGAAAAAAGCATACTGGCGGTGGAAGCAGGGGGCAGGGACAAAGGAGGAGTACACCTCCCTGACCCAATCTTGTAGGGATTTGGTAAGGAAGGCTAAAGCAGCGCTGGAGCTTAGATTAGCTTCTGGGATTAAGGATAACAAAAAGTCCTTCTTCA